AGGGAAATATATACAAGATCTTGTGGTAGCTCACAGAGGAAAACAATGTGACAATGAATATATGTATGTTCATGTATAACTGAAAAATTGTGCTCTACACTGGAATTTGACACAATCTTGTAAAATGACTATAACCCAATAAAAAAAGTTAAAAAAATAATAAAGTTAAAAAAGAAAAAGAAAAGAATGAGGAAAAATTATGTTTTCAGATATACAAAGACTAAACATGTTTGTTTCAAAACTGTGTTAAACAAATACTCCACACAAGAATAACTGAGATTTGAGGGGTGTGCTTAATGTGGTATTAAACCATTCTAAGATTTTTGGTTCACTGCTTTATCTCTAGCTCTGTCAGCAGTTGTGAATAAATGAGTGGATGAGTGACTGAATTGGTGAATAAACAAATTCTTAACGATCTCCTCTGGTTCCATGCTCTGACTCTCAGAAGTCAGTCTTGCCTTCTGGAGCACACATCCCAGTCCCTGGGCTCCCACAACTATAGGGCTGTGGAGGAGAGTTCTATTATTTCCCTCTCCGATCTCAGAGGCCCCAGCTGTGAAGCTTTACTTCTAATTAACTTCAGAAAGGGCTCTGAACTTTGAAAACCTCTCCTGCAATTCACTCCCTATTGAAACCTGTCATCTGTCCCAATCTTGCACAGAATTGCTTTCCATCTTTTGTAAACTTGAGTTCCCAAGTAACTGGAATGGTTAAGTGCAGCATCACAGAAGCTATGAGAGAAGAGACTTCAAGAAGCAAAATGATGAGGACAGGCCAATGAATGTGGCCAGAAAGGCCTCGGTAGCTTTCAGGAATAACTGAGTGGGGTTAGGGAGGAAATGTGTGAATAAAAAGTGGAGGCAATGTGTGCAGACCAGCATATGAGGACCTGGACAGGAAAAACAAACAGAGGTTTCAGGGTTTAATCAAATGTTTGGGTTTTTCTTTGTGTTAAAGCCCAGAAGGATTCTTGGATATAAAATATGTAGAGCATAGGGAGATGGAAAAGTTGAAGACAATGTAAGAAAAGGAAATAAATATGTCAGCAGAATCCTAAAAGGGACCAAGGAAAGTTCCAAATTATTTGTATAACAGTTAGCTTTAGAGTGAGAACAAACATCTGACTCCTATAAAAAGGCAAAGAATAGTATGAGGCAAGGATTAAAAACAGCTGCAATTGGGACCATGCTAGGGAAAGACTAAGAAACAAAAGAAAATAATGATTCAGCGTATTAAAAGCTTATTCACTAGCTCCAAAATGAATTACCTTTATTAATTGTCCATTTTTCTCCTAAAAAGCCTTCCTCCAGGTCTCTTAAGAAGATGACATCATATATTTAACAAAACAAGGACATCCATCAAAATTATTCTCTGTCTGCAGAGTGATTTCTGTCTCATTCTCTGCTTTGAAATTTCTTCTTCTCTAGAACCACAGCTACTCACTTGTGTTCTAGTTCATCATCTCCCTGACTCTGAAGGATCTCATACTCTTTCTAATATATTCTGGCTCTTTTCCCATGGATTTCATCACTTCTTTTTAGAACATAAGAGTTGCTCCAATTTTTAAGAAATCCATACTTTGATTCTGTTCTCTCTCTTATTTTCAGTCTTTTTTCTTTCAAACTTCTTGATAAGTAAACTACAACCACTACCTCAGTTTCCTCAACATCAATTGTTGAGTACCACTGACATTTGGTTTAGGTCTTCTTTTCTAGTTTCTGTAAAATTCTTTCTTATTTACCAAGAAAAGCACTGATGAACTTTCACTACGACACTGGCTATATGCCACTGGTTTTATAGACAGTGTTCTCATTGTTATTTTAAAAATAGTCTCTAATCTCAGTTTTCATTTCCTGTTTAATCCAAGTTATTTATAGCAATGTTTTTTTTAATATTAGTTTATTTTAATTTCAAAACAGACTTTATTTTTTTAGAGCAGTTTTAGGTTCACAGCAAAATTAATCATAAAATAGTTTCTACAAGCCTCCCTACTCCTCACACATGCACAGCCTCACTATCAACATCCTGCATTTATTTATCATGTTTGTTGCAATAAGAGTTGCATCTGTTACAATCCATGAACCTGTGTTGACCCATCACTATCACTCAAAGTCCATGGTTTGCATTAGGGTTTACTCTTGCTGACTTACATTACGTGGGTTTTGGCAAATATGTGATGACATGTATCCACAATTACAGTATCACACAGAGTATTTTCACTGTCCTAAAAATCCTGTGTGCCCTGCAATTCATCCTTCTCTCTTAACCCCTGGCAACCACTGACATTTTTACTCTCTCCATAGTTCTACCTTTCCCATAATGCCATACAGTTGGATATAGCCATGTTTTTTAAAAGTATGTGTTTAGATGGGGAGGGGAAAGGCTATCTTTTTGTTATCATCATTCATTAATTGTTAAATGATGAAATCTATTTGGACCTTTATATTTATCATTTCACTCAAACATGGCACAATATAAAAGCCAGCATTATCATCATTTTTATAGAATTTTACTGTATTTCTAGTAATCCTGTTTGTGGGCATGGTCTAGAAAATACCAATTCCTCTAGGAAGTCCTGGGACTTGGATTAAATTTCTATGTCCAACAATTTCTTCCAGCAAATTGATAACGCATAAATGATTCTTTCATAATCCAGAGTGACTTGGAGATATAAAGTCCCCAGAAATAAAATCCTTGGGAGTCTTGGCTTTTGCCCACAATGTAAGGGCTATGGAACTGCCTCTCTCATCATCCATGTGACTCTAATCGTAAGCACCAAAGAGATGCATTCTCTTACGTATAAAGAAACTTATTGCCTTTATTTGTAATTTTATAACTTTTATTATAAATAAAATATATAATATATTATATATGTATGAGCACAAATAAAAAATAAAGCAACGTCCAAGTAAGTTAAACCATTTGTCCTGTTCTTAGAGTTTTCCCTTTTGTAGGTTTTGTGTGATGCTTTGCTGAGGACCGGCATTGTTTTTCAAGCATGAACGTTCATTACCTGCAGTAAGCAGAGCTTGATGACTGTGACACAGGTGTGAGAGAAATGCCATTTTCATCCAAGGCCCACGATAGACAATAGCTTAGTTTTCCTGATGTCAAAAGACAAAGTTCTTCTGTTCCATTCCCCTCAAGAAGAAAGGGCACATCTGTATAAAAGGCATAAAAAGCATGCATTTTTGAGCGCATTGTAGTGTTTTTTCCTAACTTTTACTTGTGCAACCCCAGGAACACAGATTATGCTGACCCCAGGCTCTAATCTTGGAGCTCTCCCTTGCCTCCCATCTAAGATTCTTCAAGGCAGACTGCTTCAAACAGACTACCAAAGAGAGAGGAAAAGATTTATCTGAACACATAGAGACGAACATCTGTATTTTCCTCTTCTTTTGACTAGTAGCTTTTAAACCATTCTTTCTGGGAGTGGCTTCCAGCAAGAAAAAAACACTGGCAGCAGAAAAAGAGCTGCTCTGTGTCTCCTCTCTCTACATTCTGAGTTTTCTCCCTCATTTCATTTTCTTTCTCAGTCTCCAGACAGCTTAACAATACTGCATGGACCTTCTGCCAAGTTCTTTGTGCTCCCTAAATTTTTCCCTGTGAGTCTTTTCTCCTGGATCCCCACAACCAATGATTGTCTTCACCTGGACTCCATCTAAGCGGACTATATTCCTCCCTCATTTTCTGTCCTTCCTCCCAGTTTTTTGCCTACTTATTTTCTTCTCTCTCCTCCTTGTTCACTCATTCATACTTTTTCACCAGATGGACACAGCAATTGCAAAACCCCTAGGAAGGTGAAAGAGAAGGGAGCTGGGAGAAGGAGAGGAATGACAGTGTTCGGTCAGACATGCTGACTTATATTTAATTGCATGAGGAGTAAAATCAATTGAAAACCAGAAATTGGCACAACACTGTAAACTGACTATACTTCAATAAAAATATATCAAATAGTAAAAAAAAAAAGAAAAGAAAAACAAATAAATAAAAACATCCCTTCTTCTTTCCTCCCCTTTTCTCTCTTCCTTTGTCTTTCCTACTCTTCCCCCTCCCCTATGCAGCTGAAAGATGAGTCAGCATGTCCCAGAGCACCTTCAGGCTCTACTAAAGGAGAGGCAGAGGCAAAGCAGTTCACCCACTCAGGAGCAGAGCTCACACTCCAGAAAGCATAGTGCTCTTGTCTCAGATGACCTCAAAAAAGCACAGGGACTAATTCCAAATTTTAGATTTCCCAAAGATCTGATTCAAGACAGTTTTCAAAAGTTAGTTTAATGTCTGGAAGGAGAATTTAATTCATTTCTAACCTAATACCATAACTATAGGATTCTTTACGCATATAAACAAGGGTCATTTAGGGAATGGAACTCATGAAGGAAATAGTGGGGAAGAAATACTTTTAATGAACTTACTGCTTCCTACTTCTCCATATGCAGGTATGACCAGCTCATCAGAGCTAAACTCTACATATTCCAAAACACTTTTGCTTTTCAGCTCTGTGTTGTTAAGTAAAGGTAAATATAGTTTTGCTAGTAAGGTTGTCCTTTTACTTTTTTCATAAACCTAAATGTAAAAGAAACAGTTGATAACTCACTGAAAGTACAACGTAGAAAAAATGAGGAAAGAATAAAGAAGAATGGTGAGAAGTAAATTAGAAATGTAGATTAGAATCTGTTGATCTAAGGCATATAGCTTTATTCTGCAATTTTTGCAGCTGCTAATGGTACAATTTATCCCTAGATAGGATTCCTTTCTTTCCCTGACTCTTAGTTTGTTAGGATTATGTGCTAATTGATGAGATGGTAAAGGATTCAAAATATGTATTTATCTATTTTGGGAAGGGGGCAGATTTTTAAACTTCAAGTGGTTGCATTATTATATCAAAATTTATTTTAGGTACAGTAATAGGAAAGTACAGTCAGTATATTTTTAAATAGGAATTTCAACAGAGGTACGTTTTAAGATAGTAACTTGACAGCACAGATGAACAGAATGAATACAGCCTTTGATCAGGGATAGCTCAAAATTATCTTAGGCACTGTAACAATAACTTTGACTTAGATTTGTAATAATAATCTCCTCCTTACTCCTCAAACTCCACCCCACACTCACATACACAAATCTTTATTCTCTCCTAACTTTTCCTTCAGGTCTAGATGCAAGTTTAACCCTTATATTAGTCACCAAGACTTCTTGTCTAGACTCCTTTATTGTCTCTGATTTTTCTCCATCATCCTATTTTCTTTTTCTGTCTGTGCAGGAATTCTTACGGTGGGGTCTCTGGGCAGGGATCAGGGGTCTGGAGTATGTGTCTTCTTTCACCAGATTCTTTAAGTGATCCAAAATTTTAAAACAGATGAACAAACATATCAAAAGACTGAAATCACCCCAAGTCAGGGAGGGGGCAGTTTGGAGAAATCAACACTCACAATGGCTATAAAACTCATACTTCAAACAACCATCTTCCATCTCACTAATAAATGAATAATAATGCTGCACTTCTAAGGTTGGTAAGAATTTCAGCAGGAAAGAATAGAAATATTTAGAACAAATCAAATAATTTTGTAGTTATAACATAAAAGACTATTGATGAATTATAAATATGTTTTAAATATCTTATTTACCCATATAGATTAGTCATCTCTTAATATAAAAGAAATCACTTATCACATATAATAAATAGTATCTGACAAGAAATTTAAAATTACATATGACATAAGATACAAAATTAAATGACAATGCATACCTCCAAGCAAATTGTTTCAGGCCAATATATTAACTGAATATTGAAAATTTGCTGAAACATGACTTTAAAATCAAACTGTAGGGGAGATACTGAAGTGCAAGAAACCTGTTTATTGTTGTACAGTATTTTAATAAAATATTTAAGCTTCTGAATTTTGGCTCTCCT